TTACCATGACTGTCTCCCTGTGACCTGTCCATTCAACACCACCAATCAATCTGACACTGCCTGTTCTATTAGACCAAATAGGATATTTTTCAGTTTCTTGGACACACAGGCTCCCTCAACCCCACTCCCTAGTCCTCAGCTCTGGTTTCTCAGTTACTCTTTCTTCTCCTGGAACATTCTCTCCACCATCACTTACCACCCCTGTTAATGCATTAAGTCCTCTACATCCCTGAGGTCTCAATATAAATGTCCCTAAGATGACTTCTCAGGCTATCTGCATCTTGCTGGGCATTCCATTATCAACCTTCACTGGCCTCCTTTCAACACTACTACAGTTTATAACATCTACTTCATCAAGTTCAGCATCAGCACAAGAATGAAAGCTTTAGGAAGTCAGGGTCCTTGTGTGCTCTGTTCATCATGAAATTCCCCAGGACTTAAGATAATGCTTGGCACCAAAGAGATGTTCACTAAACAATGTCTGAGTGTATGAAGGCATGAACACTGGAAGATGCATAATTCAACTTCTCCACTTTACCTTCTGAAAACTAAGGCCCACAAGCATGAGAAAAACAAAAAGGTAGCTTCCCTGAATTCACGTGTGGGTGGAAGGAGGGGTGCTATCCACTGACCCCTACATTCGAGAATTCCAGAACCTTTCACTGGCGGCAGACAAACTGTAGGCTTGCCTTGATGTAGGAGAGAGATTAGTGCACATTCTCAATTCCCACCCAAACTGAGACCTCTAATATCATGAACCAGTCCCATTGGAAAGAATTTCTCGATCAAATCACATGCTCCCTTTTTCAGAGTGCCCAACTTTCTGAGTCTCCCCACCGGAGCTAGAATATGAAATCCACAGCCATCATAAAAAATCCACCCTTGGATTTTCTGTGTGTAAAAGAAACTCTTCTCTCACCAGTGCATCCATGCTGTCTGGGGAGGGGAGCTGGCTCTTAATCCTCCCTGCTGTCCTGTTTGTGAAGCCTTTCTGGACACACCAGCCACAGGGAACCTCCTTTGTCCGTTCTCTCCCATCACTTATTTTCTCTGTTCATTTGATGGCTGCCATAAACTGCCGGAGGAATCTAGTGTCTCTCGGTGGAAAAGTCTTTTAGATTTACATCATCCTTCCTAAGGATGTTAACAAATGCTTAGGTCTTTTCTTCCCCAATTGACTCTTGACATTGCAGAGATGGAGGGCATACCTTATCCACCTTCACAGCCCTCTCTGCTCTAGGACAGCTTGGCCCATGTTTGCTGTCATGCACGGGGGCCGTCTTGGGGCTTGTGCTCCACCCCAGCTGTCAAGCTTACCTTCCTGCCTGGGTTCATCGCTGAGGACCTACCGCCTCTTCAATGCTCTGCATCATTGGAAACTGACATGAAAAATCTGCTCAAGTACTCAGAGGCTGTTCCTTTGTGGAGCAATGAACATAATAACAGACTCGTATGCAGGCTACCTGCCTCTGCTGCAGCAAGCCTGTCCTACACCCCCACTGCAGCAGGACTGCAGACTGGGGTATTTCTGTTCATTAACATCAGGACCTCTGAAATAACCGTAGGGTTCTCAGCCCTGGGCTCTAAAGGGACTTGTGCTATGTATATATTTCCCAGGTAGCCTCAGTGTGAGCCTCTCGGGGCTCCTGTGGGAGTTTGAAGCTTAATAATTGCCCCCTGCCCTCTACATCCCCTCAGGAGCAGTTGCTGAGAAAGGGAGAACTATGTGGTCCAGCAGCATTGGGAGTTCCTTTCAGAAAAGTTATTAACTGCCTGTCTCTTGGGCTCAGCTAAAGAGCCACCCCTTCCATCCAAAACTATCTCCTTTGGTCAATGATATCTGAAATGACACTCGTTAATTCAGTCACAAAAGGGCTCTGCTAAAATTATGATACCTTGTGTGGAGGAAATAACCTCTTCAGATAGTAGAAAATGTATGAAGTCGTGGAAATTCTCACTCAATGTAGTTTTTTCTCAGAATTTTTATGAGAAGGTCATGATAAGCTTGGTGGAGGGATGGAGAGAGAGACAAATATTGGGACACAGTGGTCTGTGAGCTTCTAGTGAGAGAACATTGAGGACTAAGGGGCACCAGGAGCAGTGGGTGCCAGGAAACTCCAGACCCTGGACATGCTTGCTGACCCACTACAGATCCTTCATGATGGTCAGCTCCTGGCTCACCAGCAGCTGCCCTCCCCAGAACGGGTGTCTGCACTTGGTCCTCTAAATACAGCTGCTGCAGATGTGATCAGAGCTTAGACCCAGCGCAGCCCCATTTCACCAGCAATGACATATGAACCTCATGGTAACCACAAACCAAAAACCTATAACAGATAAACAAAGTAAAAAATAAAAATAAGAGAATATAAACATAACACTGTAAAAAAAGACAAAGAAAGCCATTTCATAATGATAAAGAGGTCAATTCAACAGGAGGCTATCATATTTGTAAATATTTGTGTCCCCAAAAGAGCAGCATATAAATATGTACAGGAAATATTAATAGGAATTAAAGGGAGAAATAGAGACAATAATAAGTAGTGTTTTAACACACCACTTACTTCAGTGGATAAATCACCAGTCATAAAATCAACAAGAAAAAAATGGATTTAAATGACAAATTAAACCAGATAGACTTAGTAGATATGAACAAAACATTCAATCCCAAGGCAGCAGAATGTACATTCTCCTCAAGTGCACATGGAACATTCTCTAGGATAGACCACATACTCAGACATAAAAGAACACCCACTGCCACAACCAAATGGTAGAGGAAAAAACAAAATAGAATTATTTGTCTTTGCCACACTTAACACCAGAAATACTTTAGTGTAGGCTGCAAGTAAAACCAGGAGCTCAGTTGCATCACAGTCTTTGTAGCTCCCAGGGGGTGGTTCCAAGTTTATGCTGAAGCAGAGGAGAACTCCCCGCATTATAGCAAATGGGACAGAACAGGTCAGCCCAGGCTGACAGGTTGGGAAACTTGGGACTCTTTTCCAAACCATCCCAGTCCGATCTCCTCTGCCTCAGGGACAGAGGGCCAAGACCCGCGCTCGAAGCCTATGTCCCCAGAAAGGAATACTAACAAGTGCTTAACCAGCTGCTATAAGCCTCCCATTCATGGAAGAGGAGTGAAGGCCACAGGACCAGGCCCCTTTCTGACAGCATCTGAGCTGACCCCCCTGTAGGAGCTGAGAATGTTGGAGAAGAGGCTCTATGACAGGTGCATCAAGGGATAGATATTAGCAACTGCCCTTTATCACTTTGCACCCTCACAAAGTTCACAAGAGGTAAGTAGAATTATTGTCATGATATCACACGGAAAAAGGATGAATTGAACTGCCTGAAATCATACATAGAGGTTGGTAAGACTATGCCCAACCTTGATCTGAATCCAGAAACCAAAGTCCCAAGATCCAGGAGGCAAAAAGCGGAGACAGAGACACATAAAGAGTCAGAGACAGAGAGAGAGAATCCTTCTCTTCTGACAAATGGTTATCTGGGATCTTGTCCATGGAAACAGGATCAGGAAGGGGTAGTTCTGATTTGGTTTTCTCAGGTCTGAGTTCCCTCCACCTCCTGAAGTTTTATTGTGTGTGTGCTTGTGTCTGTGTGTGCACAGGCAGTCACACAAACCTCCTGTCTCAGAGAGGAGCTACAAACCCACCTTGTATTCCTACATTCAATGCTGCACAGTAACAGGCCCCTGCAGAAAATCAGGTTGTTTCATTGCCAAAGCGCTGATGGGCTCAACTATCAGGGAGTCTCAAAGCACTCCCTGAGGGCTTGTCTGCTACCCTGCATGCCAAGGGGAGGCAAGTTGCCTCTTGTGTCCATGAGAAACCATCTTCACGCATGTGACAGACATCTCAGGGCACAAACACTTCCCAGGAAGAGTATGTTAGTGGCCAGCATTGCCTGGGACTCCTGGCTGCCTTCTTTCTTACAGTTCAACTGTTTCTCACTTCCCAATCCCATCAAGTTCCTGCCTTTCACTGCTCTTCTGAGCAATGGAGTGAGCTCTTTTCTTGTTTGGACCCCAGATACATCCTT